ATATATATAATACAGTACAACAAAGCTAAACTTGAACAATCTCAAAATTTACAACAACAACAAAAAGCTTATTTTCCATGGTAACATTATTTCCTAATAAATGTTGACTTCTAAACATACAGATTATTTTGTAGGTTTTTATATTAGTGTCAGGTCAGTTCCGTAAACCTATTCCCTAAATTCCACCGCAGACTCAGACTAGTTTAAAGTAAATGTTTTACCGACTCAAACTGTGAAGTACAAACAAAAACAGTATCTGGTCCTTCCAAGGTCTACCATTGGGGGTGGGGGGTGGGGGTGTTAGGTTCTAAAGCCCTGCATGTTGTTTGAAGCGATTATGCATAAACTTACATACAAGATGTAATGTACTTACGTAGGTGACACTGTAAATTTTGAAATTAGGTTATAGTTACCGAAAGACAAGAGATTTGCAGCTGTGTACTTAACCAGTTCATTATTGTGTTAGAGCAAATTATGTCATTTTAGTGGGGGGAGGGGTTATATTGACCGGATCAAATATTGTGGGGGTCATAACGTGACAGTGTGGGGGAGCGACAGATTTGAAGTTTTTAATGTTCTGTTTTTTGTCCTTTTTTTTTTTTTTGTAATTTTCTCTTTTGTCCAGGTTTTGGAGGCGGAAAGTACATCTCATTTGAAGAACGCCAGTGGCATCAGCCATGTTTCACCTGCTCCCAGTGTTCCGTCTCGCTCGTGGGCGCCGGCTTTTTCCCCGAGGGTGACAGGATCCTGTGCCGCGGCTGCCACAGCAGCCTATAGAGCCCTCGTTTACTGCGGTCGCACCATTCCTTCACAATCTTCAACTCATTGCTAAAGCTTTAAAAAAAAAACCCTGGTTATTGCCATGGAAGGTAACACAGGCTAAAATAAAATGCTGCCTCAGGTCATTTTAAAATAAAGACATTTGTTCCTTTTATGGCCGTGTTAAGATAAAAGCTTCAACCAGGAGCTGCAGCTCYATTATGTTGCATCATCAGGACAAAGATTTCTTCTTGTATTAAAACGTTTTGTTTATGGAGTGCCTTTTTTGATGATTTGTATGTTCTGAGTGCTTGTCATTTCACCAAATACTTCTTCATATAAATATCTACGTGTAAGTGAAAAAACACTTCAGGTAGACGTCAGGCTCTGAGGAGAAGACAGAACACTGATCTATAAGCCCTACAGGTTTTAATGTTAAATGTTTGATCRACTTACTGTTTGACGCTTTTACAGCTGCAGTTTTATACATTTTAAATGTTTACTTTTCATCGCATGTCACTTACTGCTCTATATTCTAGGTCTTGCTTTATGCATTTTGAACGTGTTGTTGTACATAACTGCACAGAAAGTGCAACGCCTTTTGTAAAAAGTCGTCAAAAATTAGACGGTTTTTATTTTTCACCCAAAATTTCAACGTGAGAATGAGGGAAAAAATGAATAAAATACTTGTTAATGTTAGTTTTTGGTCATCAGTACACTTCATTTTGCACTCCGCTAACGATAGGTTTTTGCTTCTGTGTAACGTGCACACAAACACACACATGGTGGGAAACACACCAGTGTTCTAGTTAAGCTTTACTTTAATAATTCCTTTATTGTATAGCTTTATAGTTCGCGCACAAAGACATTTATAACCCCCCAAAAACGCTAAAATAAAATGCATAAGTGTTCATTGCCCAAAAAATGCATGYTTTTTTTATATTTTATTTTTATTTTTATTGCTTCTTATGACTTTTTATGTTAGTTTTAAATCATGTATGTAAAAAAATAGAGAAAATTATCTATAAGAAGTTGATTATTTCAGCTTTGATGCTGGTGAGTCAGAGTTGGCAAATATATATATTTTAAGATGGAAACTAGGCCATCAGAATGATAATCATTTCAACTTACTGTAAATCTGTTGATGGCTGATACGACTAAATGGTTCGTCCTATTTTTAAAACAGATTTAAATAAAAGGCGTTGACTAATCTTTGTTTATCGTTTTTCAGCTTTTCTTAGAATCTGGGTGTCTTTGTGGTTACAATGAACATCTGTTACTGCATTCAAACTCCACGGTTTTCTGTTGACTCGTGTTTACACTCTAGGACAAAGAAAAAAACTCTTCAAGTGTTTCATATGTCTTTCTAGGAAAAACGAGTGTGTGTGTGTGTGTGTGTGCAGCTCCAGAGGGAAAGGGCATAAAAGTGTGAGACAGTTTGAGAAAGTGTGAGAGAACTCAAGCATGTGTTGTGAGGCAGGAAAAGTTACGTATGTCTAAAGTTTTTGGGTATTTTCTGAGTCATAAACAGTAAATGTGATTGTGTGTGTGAGAGTCTGCCCCTGAATGGGTGTACACACACACACATACACACAGGTTGTTGTTTGTGCTGAGTCGACTGTTTCGGTGCCTTAAAGAAGCACACATCCACGGACCCCCAGATACACTTTCCTGTCTCGGCGTTGGTGAACTGTCCTCCTCCCTGCCTCTGTTTCAGATTTTTTCACCAAAAAAGGAGATGGAAAAGTTGCAGCCGCGTAGGGGGGGAGGGCGATGGTGGAACGGAGAGGGAGCGAGAGGAAAGACTTGGGAGACGGCGAGGAGAGAGGCAGGGAGGATGTTCACATCTGGAGTTGCACCATGGCACTTTCATTAGAGGAGCGAGGGGGTTCGGCTCACTCAAAGCCCCCCTTTGGATTTATTTAAAGACGCGAACAGGCGGGGAGATGATGGCTAACAAGGGTCAAAGGCAAACACTTAACTGTGTCATGTTGTACACACTCTGCAAAACTAAATCATCAGCAGTTATTGGGATCAAGGTTGCATGGTCGGCCTTTTTTAAAGACTCTTTATGATTTGTTTCTTTTTTTTGATAAAAAAAAATGATTGTTGGATTTACTCAGCCAAGTTATGTCAATATGATTTAAAGGTTAAGTAAATCCAACACATCTGTTTTTCTGAGTGTATAGTAACAAAACCCTTTTACTTCGTTACATTACTTTGAGGATTTGTATTGTTACCAAGTAGTTTATCAAAACTGAAAAACAATACTTTAAAGTTGAACACCTTGTAACCTTGTAAATTTAAATATGACAGCAACATCATGAAAGTAGTTGTTTATGCACTCTAAAAATGAACTGTTGAATTTACTTAACCACGTGATATCAGCTGGTTCCAGTGAAACTAGTAGAATAAATGTAAAGCAATTTACTCAACTTGGTTTAGTGGAACCAGTTGACATAACGTAAGTAAATTTAACACTTTATTTCTTAGAGTTTGTGTAAAAGTACTTTTAATTTTGCTTTCCTGATCACTGTGAGCAGTTTTATGGCCTTTACCTGCACACTGTTCGTATCAGTGAAGCTGATTTTTACCAAAGCCAGTATTTTTACTTTTATTTAGTTTTTTTTTTCCAAGTACTTTACACATCTCTGGATATCACTTATGATATATTAGTTCACAAGTTGTTTTAAAGCTGGTTTTCCAACATGTGAGTTATGTTGTAGAACAGTGTTTCCCAAAGTTGGGGTCGGGACCCAAAGTGGGGTCCCGAAACGTCCTGAAAAGATTTTCTGAATTAATTACATTTTTGCTTTAGTTGTTACAAAGGAGTGAGG